AGCAGACCTGTAACACCCCAGGCAATAGCGGACCTGTAACACCCCAGGCAATAGCGGACCTGTAACACCCCAGGCAATAGCGGACCTGTAATACCCCAGGCAAAGCAGACCGGTAACACCCCAGGCAATATCAGACCTGTAACACCCCAGGCAATAGCAGACCTGTAACACCCTAGGCAATAGCAGACCTGTAACACCCCAGGCAATAGCAGACCTGTAACACCCCAGGCAACAGCGGACCTGTCTACCCCCTACGCTTTCGCAGTAGTAACTACGTTTTCAAGCTTAAGATTACGGCACAACGGAGAGCCCTAAAAAAAAAAAAAAAATCTACGTTTTCGGGAATTTCATTTGTGTGGTTTATTTTTAATAAAAAGTAAATAAGTCGAGGTGTTTTCAGTAGAAAATGTACTGCTCTTTTTGTGTTGACACCGTAAGCAAACCAACGAAGATGGGCAGCCTACAACACATAGGAAAAACCATAACTTGTAAATTTCTTGATGTTAACTTAGATGAGCAGCCGAGTGGATTTCCTGACACAACCTTTTATTTTGATAGTAAATACGCCACCCCCCCCCCCAATGCTAATTGACCAAACTACACTCTGGAGCTTGGAACTACCTTTTTGAGAGCTGAAAACTACTTTAACACTACACCGGAAGTTGTAAACAGGTCTGCCATCGAAGAGTTTATGAGGCATTCCCCCAAGCCGCACATTTTCACCAGGGATAATGCCACCAAGCGAAAACATTCTTTTCACCAAAAAAAAGATATGCTCAAGATAATTTCAGTTTAAGGCTCCTCGAAAACATCGTCTTCGTTGTGGCGCAGCCTGTACTCTGCCAGGACGTAGAACATGATGGCCACAACCAGAAGCGTCATGAGCAGGTAAAGCTTGGTGGACACGCACATCCACGTCCCTGAGCCGAAAATGATGGCGAGCCCCACGCTCTGGATCAGGCGGTAGTTGGTGAACGCCACTTCAGGCGCGTCTGTACAGGTGAGGCAGATTAAGGCTGAGGAGAGAGGTTGCGGGGGGGGGGGGGGGGGGTGTGGTTGTGGGGGGGGGAGGTTAAAGATTATAGAGTTGCTTTTAATGGGCTGCAAACATTTCAATAAATGAATTGGTAATTTATTAAAACTGTTTACATTTCTGGCAAATGAACAAAGGGGCTATCCATAAATGACGTCACGCATCTAGGAGGAAGAAGGAAAAATAAAAAAAAATGGGGGGGGGGGGGCGGGGTTGGGGTTGGAGGGACAGGTAGCACATATTTGTGACGATTGATAGGGGATGGAGGTAATAAAAAAAGATTATGGCAAAATAGTGTGACGCCATTTATGGACTGC